TTTTTTTTTTTTTCCCCCTCTGGAGATTCCTGCCGCCGCCCTACGGCTAGTGCCTGCTCATCAGATCTGACCCGTTGGGTGTACTTTGGGGTACTGGAGTGTTGTATTTTCATGTTTTATGTTGTGCTTTGGTTGCTTATTGTACTTGTATTAAATTTGAATAATATATACTGAAGAGTTGGAGGCAAAATAACTGCTTGTGAGGTTCTAGCAGCCTGTTTATTTAGTTTGCTTTTGGGCAAGAAAAAATGTATTTTTTTGGGCCGTCATTGGTTTGCTACCTGTTTGCCAAACACCTGAAGGCAATTGGCCCCTAAAATTTCAATTACAATGCAATTTAAAGTGCCCATTTTATGACGAGTGGAGTCTGTGTTTCTGCTTCCACCACACCATATTTATAAAGCTTGTCTTAGTTTCATGGCAATTGATTAACACAAAAGAATTAGACAAAAAAAAAATTTCAATCCCCTTTGCAAATATTAGAGAAGAAAATATCAAATTGAAAGACAGCAAATCCCTTTATTACATTCTTCTGTATTTATTGAGCTAGTAGTTACTGAAATCTGGCAGATACACCCCCACTGTTGTCCTCAGTCTATATACTGTGCTATTACAGAGCTCAGATGGTTCACAATCTTTTATGGGAAGTTTTTTAAGAGCATTTTTGACACAGTAAGAGCATTTTGATGATGCACATGGTCTCCACAAGGACATTTATCGGGCTTAACACTAATCATCCCTTAGAAACAATAGAAGCGCACTCGAATGCTTAAAATCCAGTTGCAGTACTAAAATGTCTTTTTGTGGTAGGAACGATCATATACCGCAAACCTACAGTACATTTAAATGTAAACCGATTTATCAGAGGACTTCCGTCTAATGAAACTGTAAAGCTCCACATTTATCGGAGACCACATCATCTCACCAGGCAACCCGCAATATCAGGACTAGCACTTGATAATGGAATAATTCATGACTACCTAAAATTTGATCCTGTCTTGCAAACCACAGTTTATATCTACTGTCAATGATTATAATCACTGAAAATATCTTCACTTGTAATTGATTACCTCCTTGGAGCTCCATTGAGAAGCCTGCTGGCCAGTAATGAGGCCTACCAGAGCAGCATTACCACTGGGGCTGGTGGCGTCAAATGTAACACTGAATGGACAGTCAGTGGAGGACCCTGCCACTATTTCACCAGAGAAGCCCTTCTCCTTCCAGAAAGCCTGTGGAGGAAACGGTTCACAGCTGCATTGTAAACAAATCACAGAATATGTACAAAGGTACCTAAATCATGTAGATGAAATGGCATCAAATTTTGAATGAAAGAATGTATCAGTTTTTGTGAAAACTCCATCAAGGTAGTATTACAAATATTGGAAACTCAGTTAAAGAAACAGATGTGGGCTATAGTAGACTTGTGTAAAACCAAGAAATCCAGCAAAATAATTTTGCATCTGTGACTCGTGGGTCAGGAGTTAATTGCCAAAATGTTGTACATTATAAATGGTCCCACTAAACAGAGCATCACTCAAAAAGCAAACGCCACTGACCTAACCTCTGTGCATTTAACCATGACCATTTGGCCACTCTTGGCTCTTTGTGTCACTTAGACTATAGGACGTGCTATTTATTTTAGTTCAGGTTTCTGGCAGAGAAGATTGAACTGCAGTTCAAGGGCTAAGAGAGCCCTTTGTGGAGTTAAATCTTCCTTTTACAGGCCTATATTAATTGTATGTGTATACATATATCTTTCTACAGCATAAGCAACCCACTTGCCCTAAACATATTTACTCTGGGAATGCAAGGAGTAAATTGAGGTTTAAGGCAGTTTACTTTCTTGAGTTGCCTTACACTTTTGGTATCCGTGAGCAGGCCAGTGGATTCCGTTGAGCTTTTTGTTCGCGGCTTAATGGAGAAAAAGTCTTTAAAGTCAAGTGCACAGAATATTTTTAAAGGTATCAACAATATTATTAATAATTAGAGATTAGATTCAGCACGAGCAGCTGTTACAATATCATAATACATTTATATTTACTAAGAAATCCTGTTTACTAAGTTCTTGAACATTTTCTCTAAAGCAGCAGCAGCAAACGCAGGCGGCATATGTGTCAAAATATCCGTCCCTTTGTTTTCTGTGCAGTCCCACACACCTGCATCAGCATATGTCATTCTCATTTCCTACTGCTGACATGCATGAGTGCAGCCAAAAAGTATTATTTTATTTTTCTTTTGCTTGCCGTATTCATCGCCTCTACTGCACACTGGCTGTATGGCAGATTCACCAGTGTGTGTGCTCTAGGTGCAAAATGGCAACACGACAGTTGGAGAGGCTGATGCTTGTGATGCAAAAGGGTTAGAAACTGAGAGTTTCAATGCTGCTGAACATGCTGCCACTTTTAGGTTTTAACTTTTTCTGCTTTGCTAAATTTTGCATCAATATGATAACTCTGATAACTGAGTAGAGATCACACAATGTATGGATCTGAAGATTGAGTTCAATTTAGTAGAATTAGGATTAGTATTGTGCAAATGGAAATGCTCTCTAGTTGCTTTGCTTCCATTCATGAAGTGGGCACATTAAGATTTAAAGACGATTGTTAAAGTTGGCCTCCCATCTGAAGAAAAAGAAAAACAACTATAGAAGCATTGTAGTGTATGGAAATGATTTGTTCTGTGTATAAAATATATTCATTAATAAAATATACGGTGTTGTGTAACCATGTGGTACTAAACTACCATATACAGTATGAAGCACAAACTTGTGCTATATAATCTTGTAAGAGCCAAAACTATGCACAGTGATGGGAACAAACTGTGCATGTTCCTATGTAAGCTATGCTTTTTAGATGGTATATTTTATTGTACAGAGTTTCACTTGAATGCATTTCATATGGGCAAAATTAATAATTTCGCCATCTAATGTCAGCTCTGTTTTTAGGTACTTCCTACTGTGAGATCTTCAAGTATAGCCTAATACAAATGTCTCAAAATAATAAGCTTTTGGTTCTCTTGCACATGCTCTGTGTAACCTGCTGGCAACCTTGTGTGATAATATGTGACTCTAATGTACCTGCAACCATGGCTTTTGGCAAGTAGAGACTGGTTTGAATGTGCATCAAATGAAACTTAATTTTGATTATTATTTTTTTTTGTGCATAAACTGATTTTGTGACTGATATGGTTGTTAAAATGTTGGGAGAATATCAGCATTCTTGTTTTTTCCAGTTTTTTCTGGAATAAAAGGCTTCCTGGCCCATAGTTCCACATCAACATACATTTATGTATACAGACATATTAAAGACAGAATTCTAATTTCATATCCAAAATGAAAACTGTATATAAAGTGTGTTCAAAAAGTTAAGGGAACACTTGAATCAAATTTTGATGAATGAATTAAGTTGAAAACCTTTACTAATGTGCCTTGTATAATTGTTCAGAACAAAATGACATAACAGTCAGTGGAAACCAAAATCATCATGGAGGCTGTATTCATAATCACCCTGAAAATCAGCATGAAAAATTAAAATCACAGGCTTATTCAAGTTTCATCAGGACAAGTCGTGATGAGAGTCTGTATGGCCCCGTGTGCCTGTATGTACTCCTGCCAATGTCTGGGCATGCTGGATGGTGTCCCTCCTAGACCTGGATCAGGGCATCATTGAGCTCTGTGGTGGCTTCAGATGCACGATACATAATGTCCCATAGGTGCTCAGTTGGATTTAGGTCAGGGAAACATGAGGGCCAGTCAATGGCATCAGTGCCTTGGTCATCCAGGAACTGCATGCACGCTCTGGCCACATGAGGCTGGGTATTGTTTGCACCAGGAGGAACCCAGGGTCCAGGGTGTAAGGTCTGATTTCACCACGGCGTCTCCAGACTCTTTCACGCTTGTCACGTGCTCAGTGTGAAGAGAACGGGATGGCAGTGGACCTGCCTATTCTGGTGTTCTCTGGCAAATGCCAGTCGAGCTGCACGGTGCTAGGCTCTGAGCACAGATTGTACTAGAGGATGTTGGGCCTTCATGCCACGCTCATGGAGTCTGTTTCTGACAGTTTGATCCGAAAAATGCACACTAGTAGCTGCTGGATGTCATTCTGTGGGGCTCTCGCTGTGTTTTCCTGTTCCTCTTTGTACAAAGGAGCAGATACTGGTCCTGTTGCTGCCCTTCTATAGCCCTGTCCAGCTCTCCTGGTATAACAGCTTGTCCCCTGGAATCTCCTCCATGCTCTTGAGACTGTGCTGGGAGAGACAGCATACCTTCTTGCGACTGCACGTATGGATGTGCCATCCTAGAGTAACCGGACTACTTGTTTAACTTAACTGGGCTGCGGGTACTGCCTCATGCTACCAGTAGTGGCAAGGACACTAGCAAAACACAAAACTTGAGAAGAATCAGTCAGGAAGGATAAGGAGAGAGCACGTGTCTGTGGCCACCACATGCAAACCTATTCACTTGCTGGGGATTGTCTTGCTTTTGCTTCTCCATTGCACCTATTGTCACTTTCATTTGCACCAAAGCAGGTGAAACTTGATTCACAATGACTTGTGCTTCCTAAATGGACAGATTGACTTGTTAAACTGATGATCAAGTGTTAAAGGGCTCCAGACTAACATAACACCATCTGAGAGACTTGGTGGCACCACCTCTGTTTAACAACATAATGTGAAAGATTTTTTTATTTTTCATAAATTATTTTAAATAACCTTACCATCCAAAGTGCATAACCTATATTTATAACCAGTTGTGAGAAAAAAAATTATTTAAGTCTCATCATTTTTTTCTTACATCACCTACTCACTGAGCTTCCCAAACAGAAAACCCATGGGAATACAACAGGCCTCTGATAGAAGAGACCAAAGTTTTTCTTCCAACCAATTGAAAAAGCATTTGTAATGTTTTCTTGGGTGATGATGATCAGACATAGACATTTTTTTTTATAAAGGAAAGTAAACCTGGACATTTTCAGTGCATTCCACTTTCTCAAAGCCCCATATATCAGACGCATAATATGATAAGGTGGCTATCGCACAATCAAACACAAGCAAAGCTTGAAGGTAATTAATTTTTATGCTTATGAAAAAGCCCCAGTGTAGATTATACAGAGTATAGTGAATGAGGGATGTGGTTTCTGGCTATCTCATAGTGAATCTGAAGATTACATCTACAGTACGAGAGGAGTTAACTCCTCAGCTGAATTTGGTCAGGTAGGCAGACAGATGTGATATCCAGCCTGAGGCTGCCTCTAAGGACCTGGTTCCTGCGAGGGACAAGATGGTGCTTCTAAGATTGTTCCCCACTGTGGAAGAGATAATCCAGTGAAGGGTTGCAGACTCAACTTTATATGCTGAAAGTACAAAATCCTTGGGCTTGCACAAGTGATGTGACTAGAGAGTTCCAGTGAAGTGCTCAGTCAGCTCAGTGTTTTTTTTATTTATTTTTTTAACATCTTCTAGAGACAGTCTGTTGCTATCAAAGTATCCAGGTGATTTCCTCTGGTGATGGGGTTTAGGTAGGCTTTCAACCACTCTCCTTTGGAATGTTTGACAGTGAGTAAGACAGCAGTGTCCAATACTAGACTCCCTGTTCTCCTCACAGTGGAGATTGCTGGTGCTTCTTGATATTCATTTGAAGGAATTGTTTATATGCACTGTGCATTTTCCTCTGAGCCATGCTGCTTGCTTTAAGCTAAGCTAAAGGATGAGTATATTGCACGCCATATTTGTTAGTTTAAAAAAGGAAAAAATAAAGTAAAATGTGCCCACATCTATGGGTAGGGTGTGACATAAAAAGGACAGTTCCAAGTGGATTGTCAAAGTTAAAAGGCCTTCAATAAATATGGGCTAATAGATACTAACGTGTTTCGGAACCCTTGTCTCTTTCAGGGAAAATACACAATCAGCACAAGAAAGTAACTCCAAGCACCTGTGTTGAGTGAGCCCAGTACAGAGATGTAATGATTTAATAGATGAAACCACACCCAATGATGGAAATGTTCTCATAATGGATCTATTAAGGGAGAACATATGACTTCAAAACTCCAAGCAAAACTGAACAATTTAATAATCTGCAGTAGCTGACATAGTTTTCTATATAACATTATTTAGTATAAGTGTAAAAGCTGGAACAACAGTTTTGAAGACAAAGACTGATAGTTTAAAATATGTGCATTAGTATCTTAATTACATTATTCATGTAAATGTCTGTTCAGTTATGTTTTATCTTCACTCACCTTCTGGTAGGTAATAATGAATTTTATCATGTGGCCCACAGGCATGTTCTGGCTAAGGAATTCTCTCTGGCTGGGCAGGGCTGGCTCGTAGTGGATCTTTGCTGGTGAGAAAACAACAACACACACCATAAATCCCAATAAGTGTATGCTCAACTTAGTTCCATTTAATCCTCCTTTCCCTTGGTTCACCTGGTTTAGTTTATATATAACAAGTAGAACAAATCTATGCTTTACTGGGGACAGTAAACAGAGGGAAATAAAAACACTAAGTGAAGACAGATAGCACACTTAGGCTAATCCCTCTTTTGATTAGAATGGTTTTATCTTGAATCATTGACTAGCATTAATGGCCTTGCAAAGAAATCCCCATGACCTAATACTCTTCTGGCTGCTGCTGTGCTCCAGCATACTAATCGCAGCCCTTATAAAGCACATCTTATGGGAGAGCAGTCAAGTAACTTCATCAGTACTGTTAGGGTAGTGTATGTTATGCATGCAGAGAAGCTAGATTGCTCCTGTGCTTGCTCTGGCAAGTCAAGCAACATCTGGCCACAAGCCAGGCTTTTAACAAATGAACCAGTGGAATATGTGAAACATCATTTAGAACCTGTCAGAAACCTGTCAGCAAGCTCAAAATAATGCCCTTAATGCAAAACAAAATTGATGAGCCCGAAGCAGTAAAATTGAAAAACAGTGACATGATAAGTGGCTTCAGACTAATTTGACATGGTCACTTAGACGTTCAAATGACAGCACTGTACACATGACATAAGACCTGTCAAGTGGTGTCATATCCATAATGTTACTTGTTTTGAGACCAAAGCCAGCTAAGTTGATAGCAGGAAATGCCTTCTACCTCATTATTTGTCAAACAGAAGTTGAATTGTTGATGGCTAAAGGAGATGTATTCTGGCATCTTATTCTTTTGAACACTTAAATGCTCTACAGTGGCAACACAATCATCCACTCTGACATTCACAACTATGCTGTGACACTTCAGTGGAACTTCATCATGATTCAGCATCACGGTTAAATCAAGATGACATAAACAGGTTCAAGGGGGTGGCAGTTTATGTAACACAAGATCGAGCACACAAATCTGGTACTGTGTGCTCAAAAGGTGGCTTGCTGATAAATAGAGACAGAGTTTTGCTTGTAATCAGCTATTCACACCAGTGACAAAAATAGATTGTCAGCATGCAATTTTTTTTTCTGGATTCTAGCAATTTCAAGACATTTGAAGCCACCTCACTTTTGGCACCTTCTGGAAAGGGGGTTTAAATTATAAACCTTATCCATTATAAAGGTTGAAATCTCCACAGAATAAAGTTTGAGGATGTTCTGTGTGAGCTTACAGCGTAATGAGCATTTATCTTTGGGCCAAATGTGGGCAAAAATACCTTAGCCTACAAGTTCCCAAACCTCATCTGTTCCATTCAGGGCAGCACTCTCATTTGGCAGCTCAGCAGACGCCAGAGATGGGGACTCGAGTATGCCAGTTGGACTTGAGTTACACTTAAGTTGCACACACAGAGACTTGAGGCTCGTCCTCGAGACTTGGCTCGACTTGGACCTGAAATTTATGACTCGTGACCGATCTTTATTTTACTTTCTTTTTGCACGTTAATGTTAAGGAAATGTCTGTCAAGCTGAATGTCATTCCCTTTCCTATTATCATGCGTGACTTTACACATGCATGTCGCACTGCTACAGATGACTAAGCTGCAGGAACAACACTGTGACTGTGCAGTGGATATGTAAGGCAATCACTTGATAATGTGAAAGACAAGTTAACGTTGGTGCCTCTGGACCATTAGCAAAACATGTTGGCTCAGCATCAGCTGTATTAACATTAGCTTCTTACAAGCTTGGTAGCCAAGGATGTTAGCTTATTAGACTGGTGTTCACTAAGTGAATTTGAGTGATAATGCAGTATATGCTTTGACTTCCTTGGATATAGCAATGCAGTGTCCTAAACAGTCTGGATCTCACACAACAGATGATGCTTATTACAAACATAAGGGACTTGAGACTTGACTTAGGCTTGGCAAAAAAATGACGTGTATCACTGTCATTTTGGAAAACAGCTGTAAGTTCAGAAACATCTTTTTTTGTGAGCAGTTGGTGTAATTTCTGTACACTGACCCTTCTAAGGATGTTGCTGTCCTCAGAGTGGTTTCCTTTCAGTCTGTTTATCTTGATTCTGTTGGTTTCAATCTCACTGTCTCTTTAAAATACCATGGGATTTGACCCTTTCTCACTTTATTTTTGGAACTGTACTACTGGACAGCACTGATTTTGCGGTCTCAATTTAATTTCCTCTGTCACTGACTTGTAAGTCAGAGCTGTGGTAGTGCTCAACAAGAGGCTTTGAAATTTCCATTACTTTCTCACTCTGAACTTTTAACTTGGCACACAGGCACTTTTAGTGTCTTTGACAGTCAGAGGGATGAATGAAGTGAAACATGAAAAGCCTCTCAAATCAAGACATAACATCAAAGGGAGGATGATTCAGAGATGCAGCTTCTGAAGAGTGGGGCAAAGAAAAAAAGTATGAAAATAGCTAAAGCTAAGTATGACTGAATTTTAGACCATGACTGTGCCTGTATGTGCTGTGAAATTGGATCATCTGTTTCATTCTGAAAAGTGCAACAGAGTAGTGTACAGCACACTGTATGACTCAACCCATTGTGAAGAGAAGATGTAATCGCACACACACACACACAAACACTTGCTAGGTACGGGGTCAACATATTGTCCATGTGAAAAGAGAAAAGGCCTTCATGTTTGACTTAAAGTTGGGGTTGTAAAGTTGTTTCCAAACACATTATATATGTCACAAAATAGTTGCTGAAAACATAAAAAAGAAAAGACTGAGAACTATGTAGTGTTGAATTGTGGAGTTAGACTGTTAGACAGTTATTCCTCATTTCTGAGTTCAAGATTTTTCAGGTAGGGCAGAAAGCATGGTTAAGTGATGCACTGCAGCCATCCTTAACATAGCAGGTCTCCCCCCCCCTTAACCACTGAAATATTGTTATAAATGCTAGAGCGCACAGAACAGTACGTTTACATTTGTTTTGAGGGGCACTTAACATTAGAATAGATGAAAAATTACTGCCACGAATATATTTTTTATATAAATAATTCATACTGCTGGCTCAGTATTAAACAATGACAAAAGTAGCAACAGTGAGTGTAGTGGGTCTGAACTGACCGTAGTTGGTGGAGGAAGAGAGACGTGAGGAAGAGGAGATAGCTGCCATGACGGACTGTGAGCTGCTGCAATGGACAGCGCACCTCAGTTAAGCTAGGATATTAGTTGTTAGCCTTACAAACTCATAGACTGTGGGCAAAACTTAAATTCTCACTTCTCTGCAGGTTTATGCATATTTAGCAGGTGCTTTGTTAAATGACCCCAACAGGCTTTTTATTCGCTGAGGTTTTATTGCACATGCATTAATGATCATAGGTACTGTAAACTTTAGTTTCACTTCTGGGCTCCCTTTCTCTACTGTGGCAACAGCAGCTGTCTGCTCCCTGTGTGTGTGCTGGAGCTCAGCACCTCCTGCTCTTGTTCAAACAACAACACAAAGGTCAAGCAGACCCATAAACATCAAAACATATTTTCCAATCCAATGCTGTCACTCAGTGGTCTTTGAGAAAAAGCTCCTGAAGGCCCCTAGTGCATTAGCAGCAGTTCTCCTGTTTGACTGTGAGCTGCTACACCTGCTACAGCTAGCTAGCAATTGTTTTATGCGAACAAATGCAACTTTTCTACATGTTCTTCCTTAATACATCCATGTTGAGAACAAGCGGCACATTCCCGCAATTGGGTGCGGTTTTAGGGTCTTTACC